TTCAGTTTATTATGCTTTGCTGCTGCCTTTAGAATTATAACAGTTCTGAGCTGCTGATAATAATAGAATATTATTAACTGGAAAAGCCAGAGAAATTATGAAATTGGTTCCAGTATATGTGTGAAGAGAGAGTCATTGTGAACTAGGGAATCTAGCATTTGTTCTCAAGCACAAACATATCTCTAGGAAGGTTCGTGTGGAACAATGCATTTTGAAACATTTTGAATGTGAAATTTGATGAAACTTCCATTCTGAGTGCAGACACATTGCTTCAAGCTTCTCGAAAGCTTTTCCAAAATACTCAGAACAGCTTGATTTATGGACTGCAGATTGCGAATACCTGGAATAAATCTTCTGAAGGTAACTTACCATGATGTCATTATCCAATATATTGGCTTTATCCATACGTTTGCATTTCTAGATGATTATCTAGACACTGAAGTCACTGAATTCTTTGAAGAAACAAAAGTCAAATTTGCTGAACTCTCTGAGGAACTTCTGTGGGAGTATATCCACAGTGGTGAGCCAATGTAAGTGCAATATAAGCCTGACTGAATGGGTCTAGAAACTTGTAGCATGAGGAAAATCAACTAACTTTTCACAGCGTACAGAAGTGTGTATGGTGTGTCAAGGACACGTGAAATACTATATGAACTTGAGAATGTAGCATAATAAAATGTTTCATTTTATTTCTGTTCTGACCAAGTGAGATGATCAGTGGCACCATTTCAGGAATTAGTATCAGGCATAGTGAAGTTTATAAATCAGCAGTGAATGGCAAAAAAGTGAACGTGAAGTTCATTTGATTATTTACTTTCTTACGTTTCAAAGTTGATGTAAGAGTATTATCGATTTAAATCAGTCATCTTTTCATTTCCTTTCTCAGAAAAAAATGATTTTGATGTACGCTTATACTATGAGGAGTTATTATAGTGGCTTAAAATAAGAAGGCTTATAGTGCTATACCACTAGCTTCAGTTCTTAAAAAAGGGTCTGAGAGTAGTATACAGGTCCTTACATGAGTCTCTAAAGCCTTAAGATCCTGGCTACCTGTTATGTTTTTGACATATCATACACTTTATTAACTACTGGGGGTTTTTAAGCATTTTTAAAAAATGTTAAATACTAACATTTAAAATTAGTGCTTGTATGTACGTATACATACATTTTCTCTTCTCTTCAGGGACAAAGCTGGTGGATATGGGATCCAAGCACTTGGGGGAATGTTGGTGGAATACGTTCATGGAGATTTCTTGAATGTGGTAGGATTTCCTTTGAATCACTTCTGCAAAAAGTTAGGCGAACTATATTATCCACCCCCAAAGAACACCATCCATCATATAAAGTGTGACTCTATCCCTTCGGTGGAGACCTTTGAGATCCTAAGTGATGGAGACTATGATTCTTCAGATAATACACAAATGGAAGATGCCAAAAGGCTAACAAATGGTGGACCTGTGGAGCTGGAAAAGTGCAAAGAAAGCAATTGCAGTTATAAAGTGCCTGTGGAAATTCAGAATGGAGTACCAGGAAATGTAACGCAGTGCCTCTCTAAACTTACGCATCTTCTGGATGGTTTTAAAGCCTCAAAGGTAATACATTCGTTATTTGGCATGTGAATTTCATTTTTATTATACAGAATGGGCCTGGCATATGTGCCAGTATTTCTAAGAATATCTATCTGGTTCTAGGAGTATTTAATACTCTGATTCTTTCACCTTAAATCTAGATGGATTTTGTACAATTTTATGTATTGTATTGACATTAAATTGTAACCCCAATATTGTACACATATTTTTGTTTGATTTCCATTACTTGTATATTGACAAAATTGCAAAAATTCAGGAAGTTCACACAGCCAAGTCATGAAAATAATAAAATCCATAAAAAATTCATGACAACAATAACAACACAATGCATAAAGTTAAAATACCACACTGTCAAGCAAGAGACATGAAAAGCACAGATGTCATATAAAGAATATATCTCTA